GAAATCCAGTCTGCAAAGTCAGCACATTCAAATGATAATAATTCACGAGTATCACGATACAGAAACGTTTTGCAACGAATGCCAAAATTTTGTTTATAATGTTTTCTAAACTTTGGATACATCTATTCTAACTTCAGCACGAACTGTATTGTGAATTAACTACGCAGATCGTTATTTGTTCACTTTAACCAAATGTATTCATAACTCGCGACTGCAATTCTCTACGCAAACTGAACTCGTACACATGAAAATGTTACTACAAAACTGATAAAATATTTTGCCAAACTGCAATATGATACAACGAATTTTATATTTTGATTTCACGCCGCAAAATCTTTAGTCATTTACAAACAACAATATTTGCGTGGTCAGAGATAAGTTGTCGATTAAAATTACATCGTTGTAAATTGTTTAATTTTCATCTCGGAAGAAATCAAATTTGAGGGCAGAATTTTCATAACTCGGTGAAATCCTATTTGTGTAATAGGCGCCGAGGCGGCCGAGGATTTGAATTGCTTGTTGTTACGAGAATTAACCAACCCATTTCCTTAGCTAAAGAATAAAAATATTTCTGCGTTATAATGATTAACACAAAGATCGAACACTTAGAAAAAGTTCCTAGAATCCGGCCGGATCTTTGTATTAATAATGATATAAAGTAGCGGAGTAATTTCTCGAAAAATAATAGAATATCAAATCAATAACAAATTTAATTTGAGTTAATAGCGATATCTCTAGCCAGGGCTGGTAGCTGTAAAGGTATCTAACTGGGTGACGAAATAGTTTCATAGATTTCTCATAGACGGCGCTGAAAACCAAATCGGCTCATCCCAAGAACAGAGTCCGATGTGATTATATAGCGAAAAGAGAATAAGTACGTTACGAGAACAATTTCGTTATTCAAACTAGGTCCTATGTAAAGGTATTTTGAGAATTTATATATCTTACTTCGTTTCGGAAATATAAAATCGAACAAAGGTCGATCTGACATCCACGGCGAAGAAGAACGAACAAAATGTACTATGCCCTGAGAACAAGTAGTCTTACACATAGACCTTTGTTCTACGGATGTGTCGAAATATAAAGGTCCGACAAGCACATGGAAAAATTCGTGAGGTGCGCTGGTTCATTCCGTACTTGGCATAGCATCTGGCACGGTTTGCTAGAAAACGTCGGTTCGAACCCGGCCGGACCGAAGGAATTTTGTCTAAGTGTTCAATGTTTGTATTAATAATTATAACAAACTAGTAGATAATTTCACTAAAAATAATTGAAAAAAAAAATTTCTGCGGTAGTCATCAAGCATAAAGGGTCACATAATTAGGACAAACGTAAAATTATAAAGAAAAGAGATAGTTATTAATTTAATGGTCAGCTAATAATCATACATGTATTATGTATCAATTTGCAAACGTGTAAAATTTAACGTGTAAAGTAAAATTTTGACTACAATTTCGTTATATTTTTTCTTTCAAATAATTTAATCCCTCTCGTTGGTCCTGACTGAAAACTTTGGCATATGCTGAGTCAGCGCCGTTTCACTGCTATGACAATCATGTTTTGTTTTTCCTTTTATGCTTAATCTGTATTTGTGTTATATCAGAGAATAAAGTGTTTATCTATCTATCTAAATTTTTACTCAATTTTTTTTCCACAATTAACATTTATTCGTTATGTCACTCTTAATCAAATAAAGGTAAATTATTTATTTTATCATCTAGCTTCAGTAATTGATTAAATATGTTGTTACATTCTCAAGTTCTACACGTATGTTGATAAAATATTTACCACCAAAATTAAACACGATATTCATTTTTTTTAAATAGCAATGGAAATGGCATCTACGACTCTCAATTTATCAGGGAAATTGCAATATTTGTACGTAGAGAGGGTATTGAGGCTCGCGTTTATTTCAGGATTAACTATATATTAAATTTGCTTAGTAAAGAAGAAAAGAAAAAACATATTTTTTAACCGACTTTAAAAAAAGAGGATGTTCTCAATTCGACTATTTAAATACTTATTTTTATTGAATATTGTGATGTTGGAAATGAAACTATTTTTCCGGATTGAAATCGCGTATATTTGTTTTTTCAAACAAACCGACGTTTCGACGGCCCTTTACAGGTCCCATGGTCACGGTTGAGGGTCAGTCATATGTGTAACAATCGCGAAAACCTAAGAACTCGATATTATGGTGTTTTTATTACCATGATATTCGTCCGTTTTTTGTGAAAATACTCCACTTCTTTGTTGTTATTATTTATACGATCGAACCGACCGAACCAGTGCCTGTTGTCTAAACGTGGCTTTAATTGAGCAAACCCAAAATAGTTTTATTTTGACTGTCATAACCATTATCTTTTAATGGTTGTATAAAATTGTATAAAATTAAAGTAAACATTTTGATAAAAAATATTACTATAAAACAATGTAAAATGAAAGATTCAAAGACGATAATTTACTCACAACATTTAACGAAATATCAATCAACACCAGTCGTAAACTACATTGTTTAACCAAATGCTGTAATTAAATACGTGATTGTAAAGAATCTACAAGATAGCAAGTTACCGATTACCAGGGATGCTGAATTATAAACATACCGACACTCACCTTATTGAAAGGGTAAGTGATAGATTAGTGTAGTTGACTCAGGGCTGGGCAGAATTTGAATTACTTGTAATTAAAATACGTATTAAAAATACAAATAAGTATTTTATATTTGTATTTCAATTACTCCCTAAAAATGTATTTCATAATTTGTATTTCAAATACTTTCGTTGTAAAATACATTTCAACAAAATACTTTTTTTTTTTTCAATGTATAGCCTATTATGTGACGTGCATAGATTTATATGATATTGAACTCAATGGTGACGTGTGTGTGTATGTTTTTTAACCTCTGTGGGTATGAAATACTTGTATCTAATGCAGTAGAAGCACATTTGCAGATGGAAACACTGCATGGTGATGTCAAAGACGTCAAAGTCATCTTTTCGAGATTTTATCGGCAATCGGCATTGTGAATTTGTGACTTTTGTGAACCATCTTTCTAATTTGTGTTGTGAACGTGTTATGAACGGCATTTACACGTATATAAAGTATTCGTCTTGTAGGGGAATATTAATAATAATTGTACGTACTACGTGCTCTGTAGTATGGTTGTATTGATTTTTACATAACAGATAACAGTTTTTTTCTAGTTTTAACTGCTGTTCAATTCAATGCCATTTGTGATAATCGAATCAGAGTCAATCAGATATAGAGAACGATGGAGCAACTATAATCTACGTTTGTGGCGTATCCAGTAATTTTGACTGAAAAGTATTTCAGTGTCTGATAGCGGTACCGCTAATAACAACAACGATCAAGACGACGTCCAAGCGACATGTATTCAATGTAAAGCTACCATCAAAGGGAGTTTGAAAGCAATTATTCTTTTTAACAGGGCTTATACATTCTCCGACGAGAGGATGTTTACCTGATAGTACTTTCAAAAGCCTACTTTTCATGAAACGGAATTCTTTTTTAAATAATTAAAAACTACCTTATTTTCACTACAGTCCTCGTAGCTTGGCTACGCATGATAGTCGCTACGCGCGCGGTAAATTTAAAATAAGCGTGCGCTGTTGGCTATCTAAATTAGATCTGATTGAGATAGCCAATAGCGTTTAGTCAACACACAAGTACCACACATACCCAGGCTTTCTACACTTAGTCTCGTAAATTTTTTTATTTCTTTACACCTGTAAGTAATCATTTTGGAATCAGGTTTTGTAAATTGTAATTTCTGTAAAAATAATAATTTAAAACTTCCTTTTCAATATATGTATTGTTGAAGGAAAAAACTTTGAAGGAAATTTTTGATTTCCATATGTCGCGACAGGTATATTAAGTATTTTGTCATTTATATTTGTATTTTGTATTGTAACTACATATTAGGAAGTATTTTGTAATTTGTATTTCAATTAAGCCGTAGCATGTATTTTGCCCAGCCCTGAGTCGACTGGCAGTGTACTTATATTATGCAATGATAGTTAATACTTTACTATAGGGATAAGCCTTCAATTTTGCCTCTATTAATCATCTTGGTTACACGAGTCAATCATGAGAGATCCATATCGTATTCACTCTTTCCGGTACTTTCCTAACTGATTACAATTCAATTCTCGTATTCGGTCATGAGTCTGTGACTTTGTGACGTCTCCTCTTAATGATGCTTCAAGCTTGCTGAGCCTAAAGTGAATTGATGGAAATTAAATGCTTAACAGTCCTTACTGTACTTGAAGCTAACCTTTTTTTTTTAACCCATACTTTGTTCTGGGAGTGCTTATAACGAACTTCTGATACCAAGTGACGGGACGAACAAGTAGTATGCCTGGTGGTAAGCGACACGCTTAGGTCCATAGCAGTCGCACTGCCACAAAGAGTGGATATTCTTAAAAGAGAAGTCGACTCGGAGAACATTTCAACAAAAATCGGTTATGGCACAGTACATACGAATTGACGCTTTAATACTGTGTGGACTCGGCCAATAATGACTTAACCACAAAAATAACAAACAGAAACACCGAAAATCACAGACAATCACTGTAACAAATTATTTCCAAAACCAAAAACGCTGGCATGCACGAACAATTCGCCCGCCATTATTATTTCGAACAAAAGCTAGATTATCGGATAAAATAGTCTCAAGTTCCATTTGTTGAAAATTGAGTGAAAATGTTGTTGATGTAGATTACTATATTATATGTATTATGCCTTGATAAACCAATTTCTTAAGGCAAGGCGATGGCAATCAACTTAAATGGAGCCTTCGCTACCGTAGACAGCGAACAAATGATTAAATTCAGAACATGAGTAACAGAGTTTCTCAGTGGCTTAAACATTACAGCTGCTTTGCGATGTCTAAGCCGCCAGTGAAACGTAGCAAGTATAAAAGTTCTGATTGTGATTCCATCGTTCCATTTCACTTACATTTATCGTGTTGTCTGCAGTACCAGAACTCGGCGGGCTAGCGCGTCGTGCCGCTGGTTGTTCCAGCGCCTTCTCAGCACCTTCGCCTTCGGCACATCATGATCCAGGTTTGTGTCTTCTTGATATTAGATGCCTACCGATATGCTCAATTTTTTAACGATCGATATATGTGCTCAAATACCACTAGCTAATGTGTAAGCAACTGATAATGGACATCGTATTTTTTGCTGATCGACATGTGTGATCCATACAAAATCGAGTAAATGCGTAAGCGACTGACGATGGATATCATATTTTTTGTCGATTGACACGTGTGATCAAACCAAATCTAGTAAATGTGTAAGCGACAGACGATCGATATTGTATTTTTTGTCGGTCGACACTTGTGATCAGACAAAATCGAGTAAATATGTCAGCAACAGACGATCGATATCGTATCTTTTATGGGTCGGTTTTGTCGACCAATACATCAACAAGTGTAGTCTAACAAGTTTGTTCAATTTTTGACGATTTATCGATCGCTAATTGGTGACAGTAACGATTGATAACATCGAGCAAATTTGTTGGCACCTTATATCTTCTGTCATACTTCACCTTAAGTGCACAGAAGTAAGTGTACGGCACATGTGACATCCGATATGAGCAACAGAGGGCGGTATTGATGAAAGACATGCAGAGTAACCGATCCTCCTTTGGTACTTTGAATTGCATAAAAGACTGTTGATGTTTGTTGAGCTGGCACTGCATCAGCGTCTGGGTGACGCATATAAGCTATAGTTTATGCATAAAAGTTCATAAATAAATAAAGAATAAAAAAACACATGTAGCATTATCCTAAAATGAAAAACAAACTTTCTGCAGCAGCGGCAAAACAAATAAAATTCTTTAACAATGGCAAAACGATGCTCAAGTATGTGACAAACACTTCAGCTTAATAAAAGTTGAGTAATATTAACTAAAACGAAACATTGGTAGTATATACCGAATTTCACATAGTTTGCATGAGAGACACATTCTTGTACGTCATAATGTTCCTTTAAATCTGACACGTACTACTAAACTACTGAAAATCCTTTTCTACACATTATTCTGGCATTTCGATGTTACTCAAAGCTTTGTCGGCACGACTTTGTACCTCTAGGTTGAATGAAATGAAGTTTCTAACGTGAAACTATGTTACAACAAAACTGATAAATCGCCCGTGCTCTATCGTTTCTGACTTCAACTATTCTCTTACACTCAAACTGCTCACATATGTTCAGGCGACGTGCTTTTGAAAGGAATATATTATCCATTTTTCTCTTTGCGGTTATATCATTATTAACAAAATAACATCCTTAAACTCAGGGACTTGTACGGTTTATATCTAGCGACTCCTTTTCGTTTGGTCCCACACTGTTCTTCGACTTTCTCCTCCTGGTGATTGTTGCTCTTCTACATTTTATTTATTTTTTGTCTTTATAAAATATATATACGTATAAAACATTTTAGGAAAATTCACGGACTAATTATACAATTATTGTTATACTTAAATATGAGTATTCAAATGTTGTTTACAAATTTTCAACAAAGAAAAATGTATAAAAAATTAAATTACACAAAAACTGCTGAGTAAGTAAACAAAAAATGAAAACAAAAATAATAAACAAATGTACTAAAGTTAGGACATCATCGCCAGTCACGTCAAAGGGATGTTTGGTCATTTCCCGCGTGGCTGTGTCTATGTTTGTACAGAGTGATTTTGTGGTGTATTTTTAAAAAGTCTCAACATTTACCCCTATTGGTAATAAGTTTTGTACTATCGATATGACTTCTACGATTTCTGCTCTATTCTACGTAACTGAAACGTAACAAGTGGGTGAGGCCAACCAGCAAAATTTCAAAAACTAAGTAAGCATCATAAACACAAACGTGGAACAGAATTAATTAAGTTGTCGAGTTTAAAATGTGGGTATTTAATGCGGGCGGAATGAACTAGCCGGCTCTACTTGCTTCACTTGCGCTCGAGTTCATTCGCGCACTCTTTTAAGTAATTAATTCTTTTGCTCGTCTGTTTGAATAAATCACTCCCGGTTAACTTGAGCATTATGGAAGTTGTCTTTCGCATTGCTACGTTTAATAACTTGTCTTTATTACTTTGTCTTGATTGTATTACATTTTCTTCAAGTTTTAGAATTTAGTTGAGTCTTTTGGAAAGTAGTCTAGCAATTTCGATGAGAAGACACCGTTAAAGTGCATCATTTGTTCTACTGAAAAATTTGTTTGTCACTAGAACTACAGAATTACCTTAATTACTATAGAATTCTTTATCAAATCTCCAACTACTTAAAATATACTCACTATAAAAAACCAAAAGAAACCAAAATATGTATGTAAATTTATTATTATTTTTAGTTTTGAAATTGACCAAAAAATCAACATTGTTGTAAAAAAAAAATTTTAAAATCTGATCTCCAGTAATTGGTAATAACGTGCTTGATCCTCTAAACTCGATGCCCTAAACACTTGATACGTATAGTTCAAAACATGCCTGTGAATTTTTACAGAAAACTAAAAATGTGATCCATAATATACAATTAATGTGTATAAATATTTTATTAAATATGTATGTATTACCTGCGCGCTTTCTACTTTCTTACCGGGAATCGAACCCGGAACCTCGTCATCCACAGTGCAAACCGTTGGGCCACCGAGATTGTCAGTTTCAGTACTTTGAATTGCCATTTTACTAGAGATTTCGTAGTGACATTAATTTGTCGATAACCACTACATCAAAGCCCGTAATCAATGAGTGATACACATATTTTAGTACAGGAAATAATTTTAAACAAAAATAACATATATCAATTATATGTATTTATTCAAGTTTAGCAATTTCATTGGAAACTGTATTTTCGGATCTAAATCGCGTATATTTGTATTTTTTTTTTGTTTCAAACAAATCAACGTTTTGGGCCTACATGGGTTTGTTTCAAAAAACAAATATTCACGTTTTAGTTCTGAAAAAAATAGTACCATTCCCAATTTATCGCAATCGCGAGAGCCTAAGAGCTCATTACTTACTTATTTTATCAAAAATAACAATGTGATACCTATCGACAAGATAAAGAAAAAATATCTTTTGTAATTGATATATATCCACTTACAAGGTTATCTATCGCGTAAAGACGCATTCCATTTATGCCTTCTTTAACATTGTCGAATAAATATTAGCCATAAAATTAGTGTCGATAAGAAATCACTAGAAATATTTGATTCGTGATATCAAAACTTCTATATCTGGTTATAAACGTAACTAGGTCGTACAGATCAAATGTCCGTCATTTATGTGCCTCGTTTACATTTTATCCACTCTAAATATACAAACAGGCAATACCCATCAGGAAAACAAACTATGCAAGGAAATATCAAACGCGGCATACTACACAAAATCCCCGTTTAGTTGAGTCACACGATTCGTGAAGTCACAGCTTAAACGAGTTGAGCAGTTATCCAACTCCATGAATGTGAAAAGTGTCAGCCACTAAGTTGACATTACTCAACGATATTTGATTAACTAATAATGGCCCGACAAAAAAATCAGTTTGCGATTCCGATGGAACTGTGGCAAAAGCGTAACAGGTAAGCTTAAGTAATAACGGCGAGGAGTCGCAAATTTGAAAATATGCAATCTACCACTTTTTGATCAGCTATTTATAAGAAACTTATTATTTGAAAGACATTTCAACAATGAATTTTGACCGATTAATTTTCGATCACGTCACTTGGTGTGGCGCGGTAATTACATTTAAAATCTTTAAAAAATATTATGAACGTTACCATACAAAGTTAGTTTTTCTCGCGGAACCCAATTACAGACTTTTATCAACAACCTGTTGGCCAAGTGCATGTCGGAATTGTGCTATTAGTGTTCCGGGCCATAAGTCTTGTTTCAGAGTAAAGATTTCCTGTTCGATCTTTTCAACATGTAATAGGCAATGCGTTCGTAATAATTTTCATTTAATTTACATTATGGAAAACATTCCAGAATTTTTACTAGGCAATGATTTGAAGTAGTTTTATAATAATATAAAGACAAATTTGTGTAGGTATAATATATATATATATATATTATACCTACACTTATATAATATATATATATATATTATACCTACACAAATTGCGCTCACGAGCTTTCATTTGCCAACACACTCGATACCATGTTTGTTTTCTATTTTACCCCACAAAACTAATTGACAAAATCAAAATTCTATCGTCTGTATTATACAGTCGTGATTAGGTCACCAATATGTGACGAATTTCAGCACGCAATGTAAGATAGTTTCGAATCTCAGCTGTGACACACAAACAGACAAATAAACGCCGAACGAGTGAGTTGTTTTTTTTTTTCAATTTTAGAAAGAAACGAAAGAAGAAGTATCCAAGTATAATAGAAATTGTACCCTGTTGTTTCAGCGTTTCGAGTCTATAATGACAAGTAGACTCACTATTAAGATTACTCTATGGCGCAGAGGCACTCGCTCTGAGCTCCTATTTGCAATAAACACGTCCCTGTGGTCCCGCGCACAAGAACAAGTTTTACGGACTTGTTTGCACTTGGAAATGTTAAAACTGGGACTTCAGTACTAGCTAGAGAGAATTTCTTTGGTCTTCCAGCACGCTAAACTAGCTTTTTGCTAAGATTTTAACTTGACAAAATTTATTTTTGAAGAGATTTCGCTTTGAAGCGACGTTTTTAAATTTTTGTAGATAATTTCAGAACTGAAAGGTTTTGACGTTTAATTAAAATGCTGTTGCAAATTTTGTTAGCTCACATAGAAAGTTACTGCTTTGTAATTTAATTAATTAGTTTATACAATATATTTCGTGTATTTTTGTACACTTACTTTTGTAATTTTCTAAGATTTTTCTCTACTACTACTATCCGCATTGACCCAAATCGTAGTTGCAATAATTTCCATGACTAAACACCCGAAAACTCGACTGGCTTAATTTAAAATAAAATCGAGCACGGACGGGCACTGAATAAAAATATCCAAGCGGTGTGGAGGCAATATTCTGCAACGCGCTGTGAATTCATATTTACTACTTAAACGTCACTTTACGC